ACATTTGCATCGTTGTTTGCGCCGCCGCCCCGCCGTCGCAGCGGCCACCACGTTGGCGTGAAGACGATGGCGCAGCGTAGGCCGCGGCGGCGCTCAACGGTAAGCTATCTGGTCCGCATCTGACGCTCGACGGGAACAATCACTGGACTAGCAACTGTTCGACCTTACATCTTTTCTAGTTTAATGAATGGCGCAGGCGTTTTTGCTCTAGCACATACCGTAACCCATAGCCAATGGCCGGCAGCATTTCCGCTTCCTTGTCTGTAAACGAATATGGTGTCCTCTGACGGTTCTCTCCTCCTCTCTGACAACCTTCAGCTTGGCGCTATAGCAAGAAATAGGGGCATTGTGGTGCCACAGCATTTGAAACCGCGTAAACCTCTCCTTTTTGTAGAAAACTCAATTCAGTTTTAGGCAGGGGAGAGTGACTCCAAGGTGCGTGAGCTATTTTCATTTTCTTCTACTTTACTGCCCTCTTCTAGGCTTAGTCCTAAAGGAAGCCCCTGTATATTGCAGTAGCGCTTCTAAGCTCTATTCGATGAATTCCAGATGGTGGAGGTTAACCTGAGGCGTAACTAACACGAACAAGTGGTTCTGTGGATCTAATCTCGTTCAGGTCCAACAGACCTTCTTCCACTGCTTGCTCCATTACTTGTTAAGAACCCTTTCCCACTCACTAACCATTGCACCTGGGTTCTGTCTGCTGTCAGGATTATTTAGAACCAAGCGGATCCCCGGGATCTGGGGAATTTCGTGGCAGGCATACAGAACGACACACAGACGACAGACGAAGCGCCTGTAGTAAGTAGGATGCTAAGAAGAATTTGAGCATCGGCTAAACCTCAAGATATCGATAAGATAAAACAAGCTGTCCAACGGCTCGCAAAGGACGGTGCACCCCGAAGGAATAGTCAGGTAGCTTTTTACTCTGACGATGAGCTCACTATCCTTCGATGGACTGCATGTTTTTGAATCCGTCGAATAAAACGCTAGATTTGTAGGTGCAGACTGCTAGATGTGGAAGTATTACATTACTAATGTGTGGACTATATTGTTGACGATACTCCCACATCCACCAATATTTGACCTAGTAGCTGCTCCCACATCGCCCGCGGTGGCACCATTAGCCCGAGCGGTGGACATTTCCCTGCTAGCTTTTCGCTAGCTGCATAGTGTTCCGGATAAGGATCGGCGCAATCGGCTTGATCTCGAAAAAGCGTCCAATGCGCTCAATGGAACTGGCCCCACACGGGGGACGGGCTCCAAACAACGGCGGCCGGCGGACGTCAGTGGCTGCTGGGTCGACCACGGGAAAAAGGTGCGCAACAAGCCCCGAATGGCGGCTATGGCTAGATAAAAGCCGCGCATCGATGACAATGATGTCCGGAAAATCTAATAATTCTGTGTTCATTCATGGAAAGTGGGGGGCATTCAGTACAGGAAGGATTGTGAGCGCGCAAAGTTTAATATCTCCTACTCTGGTGCTATTCGCGTCGTGATATGAGAAACGTTAACATCTCCTTAGCATCAGATCTGGGAGCCCCTTTACCTTCAATTTTTAGCGTCCACTTCAAAAAACCCTCGAGTGCGAAATTTCAAGTTTAGCTGTCTATAGATGCTTTTATGCCCTTGACACCAATGCAAACTCTCGTACGCGCCGCGCAACTAGCGGCTGCTCGTCCATATTTCCATAGCCAGACAAGCGAATGTGTGAAGTGTTCTATATCTTGTGCTAGAACATCGCCACCACTCTCGCCATATCCGCCTTGCTGCGTTACAGCCCGACCTTGACGTGCCGCCAGCCAGCCTAATCCAAATCGCACGCAGCCGCCAAAACAACATGCAGATCGCTACCGTAAACGGGGCGGCAGACGGTGGTACCTCGGGAAGGACATCAGCTCGATGCATCTAGAGCAGACACAACGAGATTTGGGGACGATTTCTGATTTGCTGCATTAGCCGAACTGCAGCAGGCTTGCGCGATGGTGCCGAAAAGCTCCTAATTGGGAACCGATTACTTTATCTAGGTGTTTGCTTTCTGATCCGGGAATGTGAGCGGGTATTCGCGGCTAGACACTGTACCGTAACTGGCTAACACGTTAGCAAGCCTATCGTCTGCCGACCGAATCTGCCTTCATTCTCGCTTGTCCTCCCGATGTAAAAAAACCTCATAGGAGGAAATTGATGAGATTTGGGTAGTTTCTTAGGGCATTGCCCAGAATAAATGCGGTAGAAGCTCGTGTGATAACTGGGAAAACTGGGCTATTTTTGAAATCTAACGCATTCAAATTAGCATTATGAACCCTACAACGGGCCAGCCTTTTTAGCAGGCGTCATGCGTACTTCTTTGAAGCCACTTTGTTGTTGTGAAATCCCTGGAAAGCAAAAAATGCTCATCCTGTGAATAATGGCTGGAAGCAGTGGTCGGCCTTATGGTTCTATCCTCCAGTGAAAGTTGCTACTAATTGACCGAAGCTCGACAGATGGCAATGTCCACTTTCTTGTACTAGGCTTGATTCCAGGGTTCTAACAAGGAAGGTCCTTCAGGATACGAAGCCCTTTTCGAAATACAATGTTCTCTGCATGTTGTAGGGGCTCATGCGAGGAACACAGAACCATGATCCATTTTCCTGAACGCCTCCAGGAATGTCAAAGTGGTGAAGAAATGGTCCAGAGTTCGATCCCCGGTGATGACTAATTTTTGCAATATAGTTTGGCGCCCCCAGATTGCCGCCAAATGGCGCCATCGTCGAGAATAGATGTCATTGTCGTGTTTTGCGGCAATTTGGAGGCGCCAACATAAATTGCAAAAATTTGTCATCACGGAGGATCGAACTTTGGACCATTTCTTCCCCGCTGTTTTGACATTCCTGGAGGCGTTCAGGAAAAATGGACCATGTGCTCTTAACCCTCTATAGCATTCAACAAACCATTCTGAAGAAACGCTCCAAATCCTGAGAGACACTCCTTGTGAGAGCGGCCTAGGACGCTTTCGGCGCATCACCTTACCACCTTAGAGAGAATCCCTATACCTACCAAAATCCAACCAAAACTCATTGATTCGGCCATTTTTCGCCAATTTTACATTCTGCTACCACTGCATAGCTAGAAGCAATGCAATCACTTCTCGCAGTCATTCTTTAGGCTGCCGTCAGCATCCAGAGATATCGTTTCAAGCTTTTCTGGCTAAATCGATCATGATTCTTTTTTGAGCTCGTGTGAAGAACCTGCTTAGAAAGATCATCACCGACACAATAGACATCTCGATCTTTTGGAGTCCGATCTTGGCAAATGTGTATGTTGCCGGCGGAGCTGGATCGTGGAGCCTCTAAGCAGCCAGTCTCAATGACCATTCACGGTTATGATAGTCTATGATAGCTTCCATTGGCAACAAAAGGCAGCCTACAGCCTCTTTGGCCATTCGTTTGCGACCATGCAGCCGCAAGGACCGGCTTGTTTGAGCACAGCCCCCTCCAATCTTCTCCAGAGGCACGTTTCTCGATGGCGGTTTTCACGGTACCTTGGAGACATGCGAGATTCCTGACGTCTGCTGACCCGCAGGATCATCTACCGCACTTATGGTGTGACACAAATTCGCCTGGAATTCCAGCCATGCGCCATGCGTTGTTTATCCTCCTCGGACCATGATTGACCTTGGATATACCACATAGATACGAGATATAACACTGCCAGCCGCCGCTATCGTCGGCCTTGTGTTGTTCACCTGCCGCCGCACTTTCCCATTCCTCTTCCGCATTTTCGTCCACTTCCTTCGTTCGTACTTGTCGCCTTCGCCGCTTTCTCGCTTCGATCAATGCCCTGTAGCCCTTCCTTTTCGTATTTTTCCCCCGAAATTCGTTTTCATTTCCGCAATCCTGACCGACCACCACACACCTGTACGCGTCTTACTCGAACTCGTTGTTCGAACAATGAGATCCGTGTTGAATTGTTTGGATTCCGATTATCAATCCCGCACATTAACTGGTTGTCTAACCTGTTCCGCGCTTCGTTTCGCTCTTCCACAATCTCAATCCACCCACCTACTACCGCCTGAACCAGCTGCATCAACGTTCAATCTATCAAGTCGTACATAGTACTTTCCTGAACAGTTTTACAACTCAAAAATAGCTGACTTCTTCGTTTTTTGTGTATTCATGCCATAGTGGCGTAAGATCCTTTTAAATGGAGCATAGGTCTTCAGACGGTTTCACTCCTAAGGTAGTTGCCCACAAGCCAGATCCCTCCCAGGGTTTTTACAGTCCAGGAGCCAGAATATAGGCTTCCTTTACTATTCGACACCCTGGATTTGAACCACGAAAATGAGTTTTCCTTCAATATTATGAAAGCTCTAAGGCATTTTTTTTTGCTACCGTTCTTCGAGTTATTCATTAACTAGCAAGTTCTTGATTGAAGAGTCGATTTCAAATTCAATATTGGCACAAATCTTGTCAACAATTTGTTCCAATCTACAAAGTTCTGAGTGTTTCGAAAGGGAAATCGTTGAACTTTTGGGGTATGAAAGGGACCATTCCGAGAATATTTTCGAGATAAGTTGGTTGGACAGGGGTTATAGAGCCCAAGCTAATCCTCCCTTTAACAAACATTCTGAGAACCATGGATTTTCAAAAGCAGAATTACAGGTTCAAGAAGGCAACATTGGAGACTTTAAAGTAAAGAAAGACGCAGGATCTTCACATTAGTAAATGGATGGCATTGGGTGAGGGAAATGCGAAACACTTCAGGGTCCAAATCTTTCTGAAGCTCTCCTTCGCTTCCTTCACTCCTGGAGTTATACCCCAATTGGGACGGTTCACAGGGAGAGGCCAGAGATTACTGAACAAGAATTAGGCGAACAAATAGGTAGCTGTTTTCCGGTGTGTTCTGCATTCCGAAAATAGAATCTGATCGCCCCGAATTACTCACGAACGAGTTTGATGTCTTCCTTCCGTCGCTGGTCAGATGTCCCGAGACTTGTCACGTCATCAGCGATCATCTCATTAATGAGGCGGCGCCTGGAGGCTCCAGTGAGCGCCCGCCAGCTTCGCCTACGTATGAGAAGGTGTGGTCTGCCACTCAGCGCAGGCGCCTTGACGGAAATAGGCGGAGCTGAGCCGGGCACAAAGGGGCGTAGCATGGTGCGCTGGGTGCTACTGTCTACCAGTCTCGACTTCACATTAGCACCGACCGTAGCTAGTCGCGCTCAGTGGCCGGCGCGCCAAGCGCCGTCGACACAACGAACAACGGCTTGCTTAAGCCGTGGACACCTAATCGTCCCATTTTATTCCGTCGCCACTGCTAGCGTCACACCCGTTTGCGCTATTCTTTGCATTTGCTTGGTTCTTCTCTTTTCCGCTGCTTCTGTTCACTTCCACACTATTTTCGTTCTCCCCTTCGTCACCAGGGACTTTTATGGTAGATTTCATAACTCAGTTTCAGAACCATCCCAAGATGCTCCCTGATAGTCCATCTCCTCGTGCAGCTCTCGCCCTCTCGGATCTGCAGCCTCAAACGGGAGCCTCTACGTTTGCCGTCGGTACCGGATCGGGTAATTGGTGAGTTGCGCAACCTCTTGGTTTTTGTCATGTTTTCCTTGTGCTTCTTTACTATAACTCCACGACCGGCTAGGTAACAAGGTTATCCAATACGAGGCAAATGAGATACTGCCCATGTTCCTGTGGCCAGGCTAGGCATGGTTGGTCACTGTTCCAGAAGGCTCAGCCCAAATCGCCATATTTTGGTCAATCAAGTGGATTTAATCTTCACTGGCTGACTCATTGTCCTCGATCATCGTTCAATGCACACACACGCATCTCCAGCCGCCCAAACAAAGCTGCTGCTGCTGCTGCTGCTTGTTATCCGTGGGCGAATCGTCGTTGCGTAATGCTTACGAAGCTTACGGAAGACTGGTTGGCGGCGGCTAATGAGTGACCAGTTGGCCGTCGGCCGCCGAGAACGTGCTCGAACACGGACATTAGTCTCTACCCCTGTATGTCGTAAATTAGAAGGCACACCACTCCTGGAACACATCCATCCAGGGGCAGTTTTTGCACACCCCTTGGAAAAAAATTCGGCTGCTTCATGGGCCAGGCGGAAAGTCTCCTTGTTTAGGGGTATCCACGAACTCTGAGATAAATCTCTAAGTAGACATTCACCCAATTCCGCTACCCGTAACATCATAGAAATTAGGTGAATTTTTTTGATGTTTAACGGTCATGATGCGCGAATCAACGGAATTTTTAGGTCAACACACGGCGTTGGCGGTGTAGGCGGCGACTCGTTCATGGATAAGAACAGCAACGGAGGCGGTCTCTTCGGCAACAATAGACAAAATGTAAGTTTGAAATAAACCCTGCGCCAAACTCGAATGAATATAAAAACCAAGAATGACTCCAAAAACTAAATGGTCTAGTGGCCGTTTTGGATCGCTACGACAAAGTCTTGCTGACTGTAAAAACCAGTACAACTCGTGCTTGCTAGATGTAAACAGTTGTAAACAAACCAGAGCGCAGTAATAATTACCACAGAAGGTATCAACCAATATTGTACGGCGGGACCACTTTTCCGAACTTGGTATTCTTAGGAAATGTTTTAAGGAGTTACCATCTTAAGTGTTCATCACGAGTGAATACTGGTTTCCTCCTTTTCCCTAGTTTCTTCATTTCTTATGAAAAAGATGAAGAAGAGTTCTTGAAATTGTTCAAACATTCTAGGATGCGCCATGTACTCAGTGTTATTGGGTGCTTGTGCGGCCCATGTAATATCGGAGGACCCTTTCATTTTTCCTGATCTTCATTCATGTGCTGTTTTCGTATACATAGACCGCCAATGATAGCCTTGGAAGTATGCGCGACTAAGACGACTTCGCTGAGGTCTAAATGGGAGCTAAGCTTTCCTGAGCTCATAGCTTTCCCAACTGAGGTCATGATAACCTCTTCTGGAGTTCTGAGCACTGGACTAGAAGATGTCCTCATACTTGCTGGAAAAGTAGAGGAACCCTTAGAACATTCGATTCAGAATGAGCTCGCTTACCCTGGAACCGATCGGTTGACAGGTGGTGCTCAAGAACGAATAAGTTTTACATCATTAATTTTGAAGATTCGCGGTCAAGGGCGGTACAACTCCAACAAAAACCGGCGCTATCGCAAGATACGGGGTCACTGTGATGGCAATGGTTTCAACACCGCGTTAAACATGCTTTTTTTGTTAAGAAGGGACTCAGCCTTAGGCGGGGGAGAACAGACCCCCAAAGGGGTGAGCCAGTGTCCTTCTCACAGGAGCTCCTGCCCCCCTCCTAGGCTTAGTCCTAGCGGATGCCCCGTATATTGCGATAGTGTCGAAAAACTTCAAGTAGCTAAACCCCTCGAAATCTCAACGTGCACCTGTGGGAACCCGCGCGAGGTTCTCGCTCTCCGTTCTAACCAGCAGAATATAGTTGCATTTCGCGCTCCGACCATTGTCTTTGCGTCCCGGGCGTCATCCGAAGAATAGTGGATGACCCCATTTCAGCGAGGCTTTCCCATATAAGGAACACTCCACGTTTCAGGACCGCCCATTCGACTCATTCTTCAACAACCAAGGTCCCTGTGGCTGTGCCTCATCATCGAGTGCCGGTGGTGGACTATTTTCACGAAAATGAACGCCAGGCAAGTAATTTTACGTGTTTTTGAATGATCTCAATCCATCAACTCCGCCTTTTCTTGTCTCGCGGCGGCGGGGCTCAACTTGTGACCTCGTCGTGTGATCCTCGTGTGTGTGTGTTAACCTATCATCTCATATGTTTTTCTGGCGCATCCCGCGACATTCAAGGTTATACAGCGCGTAGTTTTACCCTACTGACCCGCAGCCCATAGCCAACAAAAACATCCTCGTCAGAACGCGCCGTGTAATGCGAGGAGATGAAAAACGCAATGATGCGCAACTCGATCACGACGGTCAGCGCCGTTTAGGGCAGTGACGATACAGCCAACTAGCTGGGCATATGGCTGCGAACAAAGTTCACTTCAGAAAACAATGATAACACACCACACCGTACACCCGCCTGCCGGCTGATCGCTGTGGGCTGAGCTTTGACCCCGAAGGAGCCGGCTTTTCGACATTTGAATGCCACCGCATTTGTACTCACTTGCTCTCTGAGTATAATGCATCTAGGCCAATGTTAGTGAACCAAAGATAGCCGGGTTAAGATCCCCTGGCTCGCTGAAAAAGTCCCACACGAAACCATCTTTCCATCCCATAGTGAACAAATGTTACCATGCTTGGCTCAGCAAGTGAATAAGCTTAGCTTTTAGTGTCGATAAGCTCTCGCAAGGCCAAAGTTTTCGTAATGTAAAGCACTGAATTTCCTCTGCAATTTCAAACGGCAGTAGAATCCGTTGAGTAACTCAAAAGGAATACTAATAAACTTTCTCTCCTTTCACCTTCAAAATCACATCGACTCCAAATCGGTCAACGGTTTTGCCCACAGGGAGATCTATAAGCCATTCTGGGATTTTCAAAAACGAGCATTTTTGACAAGCTTCCCAAATTCGGGCCAAGCATGGAAGGGAAAAATTCCGTGATGTCGGTGGATCTCACTGACCACGCGCTGGCTTCGAAATCGCGGAAACTGACTGACCCATAAATCACTTGAAGATTTGTGACATTCAAGTCAGCGCTTTTCCCTTCTCGAGAAGCTTCTCAGCGAAATGAACAAGAGAACAATGGATTGGGACGATACAGAGAAGCAAGGAGATAGCAGCGCCCTTTTTGGGTTCGAAGGGAAATGTTGCATTCATGGCTATTCTTCAAAGCTTGTAGCAAGCCATCAAAGGCAAACCTATTTTTACGGGATGTACTTCGAAAACTTTTGTTTTAAGGACGCAAATTGGAATTTCAAAGCATTTGCGCAGTTCTTGATTTCTATTACCAAAATTTCTTGGAATTTAAAATTGTCGAAGAAAATTAAATTTGAAGTTTAAGAAAACCGAGAAAAAGTTTTAAAAACTGAAAAATCGCCCTGTGTTTTGTACATATGCGAGTTTTTAACACCGCAGTATCCATAACCTTCTTAAACATCAACTTTTTGCGACTCTATAACTTCCCAGAAGCGCGCGTGATTTGAGCATTATAAATAGTATTGAAACTTGTTTAAGAACTGGTCATCAAAAAAACTGTCCTATTTTCCGTTTCCTTTCCATAAGATTCCTGCGATATTTTCTTATACAAGCCTTGAAATCGTAGCGACATAGAAACACCGTATTCTGTGCATTATGAAAAGTACTAGATCTGCACCTCATTGACTCACAAATACTGATTTTCTCAGAAAAAATATGAGCATCGGGAGGTTTGAAGGAACAACAGGACTCCTTCAAAACAATATTAGTGCGCGTGAACTATTGAATGTGAACCAATTGCGGCCAAAATTCCTGATCTGAGATGCGCCATGCACTTCACTGCAGTTGAGGAGCGCTATGGTGTTTGAAACGTCTTTCAGATTCTTCCCTTGGTCCATGAGCTGTTGATCTTTTCACAACGGTTAAATTTGCGGTGGCTTTTTTTGATCATCAAATTCAAGCCAATCTTGTTAAAGACCTTTTAATTTCAGGCTTCGCCCGTCATTGCTCGTTCTTGTAATTACTCTTCTTTCTTCTTCATCTTCTGTTCGTGGCGACGTTAATTTGCCCGAGTGCCATGATATCCCAAAAGTGCTGTGTTGTACCGAACGTGTGTTAGGTGAGTGATTATTTTTTTTACCTATGAACGGAATTCCAATATCTCAATGAAAGCCGGCGCTAACGCAAGATGCGGTGACATTGTGGTGCTAATGCACTGAGAAACGCGTAAAACTTCTTTTCTGTAAAATTGAGGCTAAACCTTGAGCGCGGAAGGAGG